CTTATGCCACTAAACATGTTGTTGATACAGAATAGCCTTTTATTCCTAGTGTTCTACAGAAGTAGTATAATTAATTTTGTCATGTGTTATTATAAAATGAATTTTGAGATCATACATCCTGGTAGATTTCATAATATTAAAACAGCTTCGGGTTGCTTAAGTGTGTGGGTAAACAAATGTTCAAGAAGTAATTAATTACAATTTTATACAAGTTGTTACAAAAACATAAATAGAACAAATGCTACCCAACATTTGCAAAATCATAACAAATGCTTAACTCTGAATATCTTGTTTTATAGGATTAAAACTTTCCTATTATAAAATAGAAAACAAAACAAACCTTAAGTCCAAAAAAGTTTATGGATTTGATTAAAATAAATTAAGGTATCTAACAAAGAATGACATAGATAGAATTAATATGCAAATACCAGATGAGAGGGAGAAGAAATTTTCAATACTTAAAACTGACAAGAAAATATCTTATCTAGAATGCACAAATCCACAGAGTAAGATAGCAACTCTATTAGTAAAATGGGAAAAGATATAGTTAGTTTTCAAAAAATGTAAATGAAAAGTTTAAAAGGACCAAAGGAAATACAACTGGAGATACAGATTTGTGTAGCCATGCTGAAGTACAGTTTTGATGGTAGCACTTAATCAAATTAAGAATTCATAACTACAGAATCCAAGTTCTGCTCCTGGGATAATATCCTAGAGAAATTGACACAGAGGTCTATAACAGAGACATAATGAAAATATTCTTCCTAGTAACATTGCTGTAGGATACAGAGAGAAGAAATTAGATGCTCATCAATGGAGGTATGGATAAGTAAAATTTGGTGAACCACTGTGTAACAAAACAATTAGATGCAATGAATGAAATATATAGGAAGCCACATCAAGAGACCTTTTGCATATCATTTATATGCTCTAAAGTATGTGAAAGAAAATAATAGTATATTAGTAAAAAGACTTATTTCAAATGTCTTTGAATGTTGCCAATAGAGAAGAATAAGGATGAAGGGGAATGGAACATTAAAAAAAAAAAAAGAAACTTTCACAAAAATGATAATAATATACCATAAGGTATGGAGTGTTTAACTTGTCGCTTTTTTTTTTGCATTCTTTGAATTTTTTTAAAAAAGCTAGGATATGGCTATGTATTTGCATGCAATAATTTCTCAAGAAGAAATAAAAGTCAAAATTAGTACATGTTTGATAAATTCGAATCTGGTTGCTACATAAATAATATTAATCATTCTAGTTTTGTTCTCTTGTAATGTTTTGATTGCAACTAGCTATCTGATAGAATAATTGATTACCATTAAATCAAAAAGTATACAAAATATTCTTTTTTAAAAAATACACACTTAATGAAGAGACCATAGAAAATTTTACTGGGTCAGTACAAATATTCAGATACTATTTATATGATAAAGTATAAGGCAAATAGCTACCAAATGGAAGTGAATTCAGCGATAGTTAGAAGTAATCATTTTCATTGTCCTCTTTAATTCAAAGTATATTGTGGGAAAATTTAGAGAGGTGCTTTGCAAATTAAGTTCTTTCTTCTTTCTCGACAATGTTGTAACTCTATCTAAAAGGAAGACTGTAACAAGTTCCCTCCAATCACTTGGAAAGAATATTCTATGAAAGAGCATCATACCATTTTCATCTCATTGTGCAACCTCAGACTCTTCCCTAAAACCTGTGTATATAGCACAATTTGAACCAAACACCAAAACAGATCCTTTGTCACTCTTTCTGAAGAAAGAACTGAAGCCCTAATTTTATATTGTGACTACCTATTATATTTTTTTAAAATTTCATAAGGGAAAACTGACTCTACTGGGAGAGTAGTGAAATTACAGTTATAGCAATTTATTTAAAACATTTTTCTATCAAAATCTGATTAGCTAAATACAATTTTTTGTATTGTGATAAATTGAAAGGGATTAGAATAAACATTGCTCTCATCAAAGAAACTGATTATGTTTTGATTCTTTAAAATATAAACAGTCAAAATCTATTTACCTTGCAAATCATTCTTCATATTAATAAAAACTGTTAACCCCTTCAGTTATAAACCATTGACTATCATACAAATAACAAAGAAGCATGATTTGCTATGAAGAGCTCCATTTTTCTATGGAAATCTATCAAAACGACTTCATAGAGGTATGGGCATAATAAAAATGCAGTCCCTGCTGTGCCTGCTGGCAACATGCATGAATTTCAATTACACAGATTAGTTAAATACTAGCCTCTCAGCAGCATAGTTTATATTTCAATTACCACATTATATTAACTGAGAACAATTGCAAAAAGTACAAATTTCACTGCTAGCTCTTCATATCACAAATCCCTACTATGTGATAACAGATACCCATTATGATTAGTGACCAAGCATGTCACTGTTTCTGCAGTGTGCCAGGGCTTGGTACCTATATTCAGTTCACTCTCAGACAGCTAAGCATGCATCTCTCTTTGTTGCCCCTTGTTTCTCAGGGACAAACCCACCAATGTGCCACTTTACAAAAATCAATCATTAAAAGAAATAGGTAAATAAAGATGGAAGTGCAGTAACAGCAAAAATGATAATGCTAGAAAAGAAACCTGAATCAAATGTAAATGGAATTATAGAAGGGCTAATTGAATGTGAGCATGTTGGTATTTGACATTTGAGACTCTAGATACACAGCCAGAGGAACTCAGGGAAGACAAATTTATCAACCTAAATAAGGAAATAGTTGTGACAAAAAGGATCATAAGGTCCCAGTGGAAGTTATGCTACAAAACCACTTCACATTAAAGGAACTCTCAAATATTTCGTGACATTGTAAGTACAAAGAATACAATGTTGGAAGCTGATCCAAACTCAGAAAGAAATATGACAATTTATCAATGAATAAAAAAATGATCATTCTATAGGTATTGCCAAGTATATGATGAGAAGGCAAGCAATATTCAATATATACCTGATAAGTTATTTGCAAAGAAAACATTTTAGTTCTCATTGTTTCTAATCTTTTGAATTATAATATACTAAAAATGTTAGTTTTACTATTTTTATTTCCTTATATGCATATATATGTCAAATTTTTTAATGTTTTTCACATTTTGTTACATAAATTTTTAAAGATTATGATTTTTTTCTATTATTAAAAATCACTTTCAATGTGTCAGCTAGCACAGTAACATTTACAGTTCACACTAACAAAAGTGAAGGCTGCTTATATTTTGTGCATACTGTTTAATAGTTTACAAAATAAGTTTTCAAATACTATTTTAATTTATGTTCTTTGAAGTTCAGAGAGAAAGTTGATGATCTTCATTTTATAGCTGATGTAACTAGTTGAACTTTTGTTACATACCCAACATAAACATTCTGGTAAGAAATAGAATTAGGCCCCCTTGCAAACATGACGTTGTTTATATGCATTATTATCTATTCATATTTGATTGTATACCTACAATGTACTAGAAGCAGTGATCACCACTATGAACAATAGCGAACACTATAGAGTTTTATTTTCCTTGTAAACCTTGCTATCTTATGTCCATCTCTGTTTCTTACTTTCACATGGAAAAAACTGAATTCTGCTGAAAAAATTCGATGGCAAGAAAGTAACACAGAATATGGTCATTTTGTTCAACATGTCCTATGTATATTTTCTCAATTTAAGCCTGGAGCTCATATTCCTCTTAGGCCAAAAATGGTAAGTCATGTGACAATAACATGTGTTTAACCAAATGTATATCATTTTTTTCATCTTGCTATTTGGGTGTTTATTTAAAGTGTGATGTGGCACATGCTTTTATTTATATTAAAGAAATGTATTCTGATCTTTATCTCTAGGTGTAAGCCTCAAGTATATTTCAAAAAGAATGATAAAAGTTTGTGAATTTAATATATCTGGCACTATATATTAAACATGATACCAAATTTTTGACTTATGACTAATTAGCCTACAATTGCAAATATTTTTCTATTTAAGAAATAAAACATTTAACTCAAATTTCAACAATTAAGATGAAGCAAGTTTCAGCTGATTATAAAATGTTCAATTATCATTGGGCTCTATTATAAGAATGAGTAATTTAAAATAACAACATACCATGTTTCCATAGTTTCTCAATACCCAATTCTCTGCTCAGAGGCAATATTGGAAGGTGATGCCATTCAATGTATTCACAGTGATAACTCCTATATAAATATCATGTATGTGCATATATGTATGTACATATGTAACTATACACACATATAAATATATATGCAGAGAGTAATCAGACATGTTAAAAACAATCTGAACACAACAAAATATTTCAATATGTATAGATACGCATGCTGTTTCACAATTAAGCAACAATACTGCTGCAATAAGAAATTATCTAATTTATGGTCATTTTTAAATTTGCCATAAAATGAATGTATTTGATACTTATAATAAGCCTAGACAGGTAATTATTTTCATTCATATTTCCTTTTCAGCAATAAACTCACATTGTGTTTTATATTACTTATTTCATATTTTCCAAATATTAGAATCTCTATTTAATGTTTTTTCAGAAATTTTATGTTCATTCTCATATCTATTAACTGATATCCTGTATCAAATTCCATTAGCCCGATATTGACAGTAATGGGAGAGTCAAATTTTGCATTCATGTAATATTTTAACTTTAAAGAGTATCCATATTCTTTGATATTCAATATCAGGTATGTTATGTAGGATAAGCATTATCCTTGACTAAGAGATGAGTTTAAAACAAATAAAACCTTTTCACTATGTCACTAAAGGACATTGCCAAGATCAGAATCTGTGATTCTTTATATGTGGTCTCATAAAATTTTTACTGTAATATGTAAATTATATTATAATTATACTTTTAATATTTTTAAAGCCTCTTGTATCAAACCCAAAATGGTAGTTCATTTTATTCATTATACCTTCATTTATAAATTTCTGTTGTATTCAATCACTGTAACAGATCCTGAAAATGCAAAAGTAAATAAAATAGAGTTATTACCTAATGAATATAGTCAATAGGATAAATGCATACATGTTTTTATTTAACCTGACCAGCATTCTCGGTTTTCAAGGGAAATCTTTCAAAAATAATGTTCGTTCTATTATTAATGGAACTAGAGGAAGCACCCCTAAAAAAATGAAGGCAGCTAAAAAAGTACACATAAGACAGTGTCTCAGTCCATTCAGGCTGCTAAAACAAACACAATAGACTGGGAAGTTAACTTATAAGCAACAGAAAACTATTTCTCACAGTTCTGGAGGGTGCAAAGTCCAAGATCAAGTAGATTTGGCATCTGGTGAGGGTCTGTTCTGGGATGGAACTTTCCCACTGTGTCCTCACAGTGGAAGGGTGAAGGCAACTCTCTAGGGCCTCTTTCATAAGAACACTAATCCCATTTATGAGAGCTCCATCCTCATAACTTAATCACTTCTGGAATGTCCTACCTCTTAATACCACTGCATTGGTGATTAGGTTTAGACATATAAATTATGAGTGTACATAAACATTCAGAGCAGTACAGACAGGGTTTTTAAGAGTATCTAAGAATAAGGGTTTGAACCCCTGATTGTTTACAGTGAGTGAATCAGTCATTTGACATTCATCTTAATTAAAACTTCTTCTCTGTTCATTGCTCCTTTTGTACATCTCCTCATCTTCTCTTCCAAGAGCCATCTGCCTAATCAGTGAGTAACTATCATCTCTTTCCTTTCTAATGCATAACTCATACAAGCCATAATTAATGTGTGATATTTCAATTGTTAGTTTTTATAGATGTAGACAAATATTAGCTGGTTTGAAACTGAGATATCACAATGATTTAATCTTTCATTTAAAGCACATTTTAAACTTTGGTGCCTGTGAGTTAAAAGATTAATACCTTGACTTGTGTGTAGCTCCCTTGTCAAAATGGTCTTGTTTTTGTCCTAAGTTGGTATCTATTTCAATATACTTTATAGCTACTAGGTAAATATGACATTCAAATTTGATCCCCAAGGGAACAGAAAGCTACTGACATAGTACTATCACAAATAATAGACATTTGAAATAGTTTCCTTTTTGAGACTTATCTTTCTTATTTTTTTCTGTAATGAAGTCAAAGAATGCTGCTCTTGGTATATTTATGTAAGTAGAATTAAATTATGTCCCAATTATATTTAAACTTCTCTTTTATAAGATTATGTAAATATTTATATCTCATAGACAAAATTATTTTATCATGTTAATAAGAAAATGTATGTTTGATGAGGGTGGGAAAGTGACAAAAATATAACATCAGGAATGGAAATTATACACTCAGCCTTTGTTTATGAATTTTCATATATGATGCACAATGTGTGTACATACCTGTTGAACATAATTACTTATTTTAAATCTTAACTGACCTGTAGTTTTGCCCTCGTATACTTTTATTGTATTTTTCTTTTTCATATGTCTATACTTAATAAATTCACTTAGAAATACATGCTGCTATAACCAGTAACGTCCCCATACTTAGAAAATAAAAATAGAATATGCTAATTAAAATAACACAAGTAGAATTTCTGGTGCAATGACATGAACCTAAAGCAAACAGTATGGCTTCATTTACTAATTGGCTAGTTAAGTTCATCCTCATGGGAGAGGTTTACCAAAATGTGTATGAAAAACTTTTCTGCCACAATAATGTCATCATCCTAATTCTTTCAGACTGATGGGAACTAGAAGCAACTTTTCCTTCCCAGGGTGTGGCAAATGTGAAACTTTAAGCTGATTAAAAACAAAAACATCTCTTAAAACCATAAATCTTGTCTTTAACAGCTGTGGAACTAATTGTTCTCCATAGTGAGACAAGCAAGAAAATGAGGGAAAAAAAGAGATTCTTAACATTGCTATTGCCTTCTTTTTTAATATTGTTTCTATTATTAATTGTTTACCTTTTTCATCAAACTATAAAAATTCAGTTTCTTTTTTCTTTTGTCAAATAACAGAAAAAGAGAAATAAAGAAGAAAAATCAGAAGAGAAAGGAATATAGTGATTAGAAGAAAGCATATTTTTATAAATAATGACTTACTTTCATGTGGTATGAATTGTGATGTCACAAGTATATAAAAGTCAAGGATACAAAGAAGGTTTAGCTTAACTTTTTCTGTTAGAGACAAAAAGACAACTACTATTAGGCAAAATAAACACATATATCCATTCAACTATTTATTTATTCTCCTCCTCATTTCACAAATCACTCCGGATAGATATACTTAGTGCTGGATATGAAAACATTATGTAAAGAACTGAGTTTTATTTTTTCTTTTTGCTCAATGCTGCATAGGATCAGTTATGAAACGCCAAATAATATATTCAATATCCATGGCAGGATATGTTTCACAAATGTCCGAAATCTAGCACTAAATGCCATTACTGGACAGGAAATGAGTGCTTTGGTTAAGCAGGTCTAGAGGAAAATAGTATAAATTATACACTTGCACATTAATTAAGAGCAGTTAAAGGTTATTTGTGTAAATGGCTTCCATACCACTAGATTCTGAATGATGGGGGTTGATTGGATTTATCAATGATTCTCAATCACCTGACCCTTAATTACAGACGGCTCTCCAAACCTATAGTTAAGAGTATTAAAGTGAATGTTCCTGTCATCTGAATCATGGTGTGGAGTTGTTTGGGTCACCAGGTTAAAAGGGAATTCATTAGATAGACTTCAGGGAATAATGTTGGTGATCACTTTCTCTATTTACTACTGTTGTATTGAACAAGTTAATGTGTACATAAATAGCTTTTCATTAAATGGCTGAAGTTAATTTAAAATGAATGCTCCTTTATAATTGTAAAAGTGAAACTGACCTCATTACTATTGGCTTTTCTTACATCATTTTGCTGGATTAATTTTATTATAGTATGTAACTACTTGGGCATTACATCTGGAATAAAACAACTCTGTTTATCATAACTTTGAAATATTTTATTAATCCAAGGACACAACATATAAAACAGGTTTTACTTTTTTGAGAGTTAGAAACATAAAATTTGTCTCACTTCTAGGGAAAATTCTTGCCTAGGATTTCAAGGACTTATCATCAGGACATTAATAAGAGAAAATATGTGATGGTGAGTTGTTACAGGAATGTGAAATGATTTGGAAAACTTGTCTGGATATGTTGGGAAATCCAGATACTGTACAGAATGCAAAGTAAAACATCCCCACCCCTTCCCCACCTCACATATGTCCCCACCCAAAAGATGTTGAAAACGGGGGATCATGCTTTAAAAATAATTGAAAACTAGCCAGAGTATATTTGTGTGTATGTGTGTGTGTGTGTGTAGACAGAATATGTATATATGAATCCTTAAAAGTAGGTCATATAGAATCAACTTAATATTTTTCTTGATTCTTGTGATTCTGCTCCTTATAGGAATAAAATATGCTGAAACACATTGTGAAAATGTGTAATGTAAATAAACCACTCAATGACAAAATTCGAAAACAAAATGATAAACTAACCTGGTAAGTTTATGTCTTCCTCTACCCTTGCCACTACTACAAATGTTTTAGGTTTCTATTGACAGAAACACGAAGATTAAAATCCCAGTTTCATACATATATTAATTAATACTATGGTTTTATTGTGTGATAATCACTGTTTCTGAATCTGTTTCAAATTACAAACAAGTCTCATAGACATTATGCTCCAGAGAACATACCACTAACACACAGCAGGATAATATCACAGTGAAAGATTTCATGATGAGAACTAAATAGAACTCCATGTGGAAATGCAAACCTCCCTGATAGGATGAGAAAATATTGTGCTAACACTGCAACCATATTCAATAAAAAGTCTGTCTTAGAAAACTTTCAGCTTTGAGAAAATTCTTTAGGAGATTATCGTGCCTTATTTCCAAATGCATAATGCTTTAAATTCAGAAACAATAACTGCAATGAGACAGTTAATTTGTTCCTAACATTTTGCCCACTTCCTTTTTTGGGAAAAAATAAACACAGATAAGATCCATACTTTCTACAAGAAGTTCCAAGTAAAACACAGCATGGGTAGGACAAAAATAGCAAAACAGAAGTTCTTTGATACTTTGGGAAGTTTTTCTCTCATTAAGCAGCACATCAAGTAAAGAATATATTCATAAGATGTTATAAGAGAAAAAATGTTATGAAACCTTAATACTGTACATACTATATATATAAGATTGAAATTCTGCTAGATTTCCTCCATTAAATATATCTCACCTACCTCGCACATTTATATGTTAATTATATCTAATTCATAGGGGAAATTTTCTGTTGGAAAACCCAAGTGATAGAAAAGTGAACAGCTTTCCAAAAGAATTCCTTTTAGTTATTCAATTCCCAGTTCAGTGGCTTCCTTAACATCTTTTATAATTATGTGCTTTTTTTTTGAGATGGAGTCTCGCTCTGTAGCCCGGGCTGGAGTGCAGTGGCATGATCTCGGCAAACTGCAACCTCCACCTCCTGGGTTCAAGCTATTATCCTCCCTCAGTCTCCTGAGTAGGTGGATGACAAACGCCTGCCACTGCTCCCTGCCAATTTTTAAATTTTTAGTAGAGACTGGGTTTCACCATGTTGGTCAGGCTATCTCGAACTTCTGACCTCGTGATCCTCCCACTTCAGCCTCCTAAAGTGCTGGGATTACAGGCATGAGCCACCACGACCAGCAAGTTATGTGCTTTTTATGCAGTAAGTATTCTGAAGCATTCCTCCAAATATACAATGTCAGCATCATAATGGAGTAACATACATGTCAAGTAAAATGCACTTTTAATAATTTATTGTTTCCTTTTTTTTTTTTTTAGAGAGATGCATGTGTAGTAAGTGTGGTAAGCTTTCTATTAAAATCCCATTCAAGGAATCTTTCTGTAGGTCTAGTTTCAAAGTTAGTTATTGGATTTTTCCCTATATATCAAATACTTTTAGGTATAGTTCAAACTTTATGCCCAAATTGGTTTACTGATATTGTAATTAAATATTCAGTTTTTTGCAGACACCCATATTTTGTACATATACAGTCATAAATATTTATGTATACTGCATAGGGTCCTAATGTAGAATTATAAATTTAGTGCCCAAAAGGTACATTCACAATTTTATTGTTAATTTGAATCTATAAACAAGAAAAAATAAACTTAGAAACTTCAGCTCTATGTAAAATGATAAATCTGTTTTATAATAAACTCAGAAAAAAATCAATATTTTTAGATTTCAAACTAGAATATAAACTTTTATGAGTAAGAAGATAGTGTCACTTCAAATTACCTATTAAACTATAAGGGCTCATCAAGGAAAATATGAACAAGGATATTTCTACCCCTTTTGCTTATAGCTAAGTGTTTTCAAAATCCCTCTTAGTCCGGAGTTAGAACACTACACTAAGTAAGAGCATACGTTTTTAAATTTAAATTTAAAAATTAAACAATATAATTTTAAATTTAATTTAAAATGTTAAACACTATGGAAATCTTTGAGAGGAGATTTAATATTTTGTAAGCATATTTTTAAAATAAAATGTACATCCCCTAAAAGTTTACTATTGTAATAACTCTGTTCAATTAGGAATTCCCTGACTTTACAATGATTAGTTAAAATATCAAATTAATTAAAACATTTGAACTATTTTCCAAGCCATAATTCGATTTTGCTTCTTTTATTATTTATCATGG